GTTTGCATGTTCTCTCCGTGCATGCGTGGGTTTTCTCCGGGTACTCCAGTTTCCTCCCACAGACCAAAAACATGCATGTTAGGCTGATTGGTAACTCTAAATTGTCCCTAGGTGAGAAGACATCTAAAACGCAGATGACTGAGTGAGAGAGTGAACGGTTGTTTGTCTCATTTTGTCCAAGTGTCCCTGTGATGGGTGGGTGGGTGGTATAACATTTTTTTAAAAATCCCTAATTATCATTACAGTTAGTTAAACTGACGTTTAAACGGTTGTATAAGAGCTACTGCAGAATAAATATGGTAGTTTTATGGGTTCTGAAGGTTTATTTATGCAAAGCCAAGCTGGTAAATTTCCAGTTTTTATTCCAGAGAAGTAATATAGTGGACCTGCAAAACAATTTATCTGTGCACCAGGAAGTTAAAGAAATTTGTTTTTTCAAAATGTCAAACTTTTCCTCTAAAACGAGGCAAGACAGGATTTTTATTTTTGTCAGATGCACCAATAAAAATGATAACAAAATATAAAACCGTAGCGCGCCACCCATTACTCAGCTGTTTTGCTGATGTGTGACGTTTGTCCTGCCCACATTGGTCAGATAGATGATTGATGGGACACAGGCATGCTCCCACTTACACCACACACACAACACCTAACAAGACCTGGTTCCTCAGAGGGAGCCATTATGTTCCTTAATCTTTGCTTGTATCAAAACAAGCCCTCGAGTCTTCTCGCCTCCAGCATGTAAGCTCTGACAGGTATTCAGTCTTCCTGCAACAAAGAATGACTGTTCCTGCTTGATGGTCAGGTTCAACCAAAGAACTATTTGGTAAAGTGGAGTTAAAATACAAGCATGAAATACAAACCCTGTTTTATTCTGTATGAGGATCTGAGAGACCAACTCTAACACTGTGCATGTTGTGCGAAAAAAACCTCAAGCGCAGTTCATCTATTTTTTTTTAATTATATACTACATATGTGACAAACAGAACAGCCTTCACGTAGTGTCACCATGCACAGCTGCATGTCAGCGTTACATCCCCATCCTGACAGGAAGCCGAGAGCTGCAGAACAAAACAACACAACCAGACGGGAACCAAGAGTCCACAAAGGTTCAAATCCATAGTGATGGAGAACCTGCTGTCCTTCAACTAACCTTCCCAAAACATTAATGTACCAATGAAATTCCATAATCCATAATCCATTATTGATTTATAATCCAGGGTGGATTATGGAGCATATACCATTAGGTTGTCTTCCTATAACCACATAAACTACACACACAATAGAAAATCCCATTTCTAGCTTATGCTGTGACAAAATAAATGTTGAATGTGGTAAACTCTGGTAAAACTGTGTTTATTTTCCTATTTAAGACATTTCACTTCAGGAGGCCTGAGGCCTCAGGGGTCGTTTTGACCCAAGGCCAGCAGGACGTTTAAAGTAAACTGGAAGGTAAAACTTACAACATATAATTTTCATTTTGCTTAAACCTTGCAGCAATGCTAAGCACCTTCTTGATCCTTGATTTTGAAATAGTTTAATTTAAAGGCTCCATTACATAGCAGTGATTGTCAGCTGTAAAAGACTGAAAATCCAGGAATTACCCATTTACACATTGGGCAACCAAAAACCTCCTAATAATCAGACGTCCTGCGTGGACAAATCCCTTCATCACATTTACAACACAAACTGACGGATCAAATTGACAGGCACATCAATTTGTGTTAGCCAAACTAAACAAATCCAGTTTAAATCGAGTTAAAACCTGGAGGCAAAAGGACTTCTGAGCAACACTAGTGAAGATAAACTTCTTGCCTTACATCGATAACCACATTAAAGTCTTAAAAAAAAAAGTAGCTCAGATAGATGACATGAACCAGTAATTTGTTTCTCCTCTAAAAGGCACTCTTGACTGTCACGAAATAGTTCTAGCTCTAGAAAAGCAAACTGCAGGTACATTTTCTCAGGTTTTAAAATTATTCGTGGGTTTTCCCAGAAATGTTCTACCTTTACTGTTCAATGCCCTCAAAGGACTTTTACACACCTAAAAGACCATCAACGTTCATTATTCCCACGAGTATTTGAGCATTTCTATCAGTGTCAAACGTCTAGCAGCATCTAATCATGAATTTCCTGATAACAAACCTGAGAGGAACTAAAGTTTTGTCAGTCAAGCCAATGTTTAGAGTCAGTTCCTTACCTCTAGAACGGGTCCAGCTCCCAGGATGATTTGCTCTACCCCACTGGCAAATCCCTTCTGGCTGAGAGCAGTCAGGTGATGAATGAGGAAGTTGGTGCTCTGAGTCTTCCCAGATCCACTCTCACCAGAAATGACTATGCACTGGTTTTTACGCCGCTGCAGCATGGCGTGATACGCCACGTCTGCCACAGCATAAATGTGTGGTTCCAACTTTCCCAGAGTGTGGTTGTCATACAATTTGACGTATTTAGGGTTGTAGATTGGCAAGAACTGGAAAGGGTTAATGACAATAAGAATACTCCCAACGTAAGTATAGATCTTTTCCTGGCGGAAGCGAGCACGAAGGCTTTCCAAAAGAGCTCGCTCCGTCAGCTCCCGAAGGGCACACAGATCAGACGGCGGGTCGTTCCCTGAAGGCTGGGGCAGGAAACCCCGTTCCACCATGCGCCGCCGTTCCTCGGTCACCCGCAGCCACATCTGCAAACTGCCTCCATAATGAATGGATCCATCCAGGTTTTTCTCCCGCAGCAGAAAGCGATAGTCATCGCCGCTGCCCAGCCCGCTGCGATTCTCCAGGGCGCTTCTTGGCCACAGCATCATGCGTTGAACCGGGCAGTCACTGGGGTTGAGGATCCATTCCTCCCCCCCAAACTCTTTCACCTCCGCCAACACGTAGCATTTGGTCCGATCCAGGTGCAATCGTTCGATGAGGCACTCGATGGCTTCAGCAGCTGTGGTGTTCTTGCGGGCACTGACAGGGCAATAGATTGTGCCCTCAGCCAGGGTGCCTGGATAGACGCGCAGGGTGAATTCCTGATCCTCCAGGCGCCGCCGCATGCTGCCAGTGATGGTGGCCAAATTGGCGCTGCTGTGGTAGCTGCAGCCGCCATCTTGTAAGCTCATGGTGGAGCAGCAGGTCCCATCAGCAAACTGCTCTCTGGGACCGGACGACTGACTCAGGACATTCCAACTAGAGGAGGACAAAGAAAAAGTAAAGGTTAAAAATGGCGGCACATCAAGAGGACAACAACAGTGTTGTCATACATAATTTCATGTGCTGGTAGTTACAAGCATTACCAGTACTCTGAGTCAGAACAGGGTCAAAAAGTCATGGCATTTTCATGTGTCCCATTACCAAGAGGACAGACTCAATGGGCCTTCTGTTCAGATGGTGAAGGGGACCGCTTTCACAAACACTACACAAGAAGAGCATGGGAAAGAGGCAAAGATAAACCTATTCAAAACAAGGAGCAGTGGCTGCTTCATGAATTTAAAGATTAATGGCCAGAGCTTATCAGAACCACGAACACGCTGCCGGCGTGTGTGTAGTCATGTGATAATCTAAGGGTCGTAAAGCGTGCCAAGATTAACAGCTGCCACCTAAAACACAAGAGAAGCTGTAATGAGAGCACAATGGCCTAATTCACCACTTCCCCATTGATGGTGGAAGCAACACTTTATTCTCTCATTTTTCTCCTCACCAACAGCCCAGCTTCACTATTTAAACTGATCCAAGTGTTGGTCAATGGGCTTTAGACAAGATAAATCAATCTCAGCAAAACACTACTCTGATTTTATTTAGTTTATCAAACTGAATTAATTGACTCTTTTGTAAATTAGCTTTTTCCTTTACATGACTTTGTCCAAATACAAGCATGGGCTTTCCCCTCTACCCCTTAGAGACGTATCCGACTGGGCTGTGGCTGTTGCAGTTTGTTCAAGATGCAAAATTGCAATAAAATAGGCTTTTTTTTTGTTGCAGACTCACTGAATTCTGAGTGTTTGCAACCAACCAAGCAAGCCATGTGTCTTGTTTTGCTCTGCCAGATTTT